GGAGAATGTGTGCTGTGTGCCTTTTGAAGGAAGAGTAGGAAGTTGGCCAGACAGGAAAGGGTATTCCAAGTGAAGGAACAGTGCATGCAAACATGTGTTTATATGGGCTGGGATTGTGGCTCAGCGGTAGAGCACTCGCCTAACATACTCAGGGCCCTGGGTTCAATCCTCAGCACCACATAAAAATAAATGAATGGAATAAAGGTATTGTGTCCAACTACAACTAAAAAAAATTAATATTTTTTTTTAAAAAAGATGTGTTTATAGAATGTAGCTCAGTCAAGGAGGCCTGGAATGTGACTGGCTAGTAAGTCCAAGGCCAGCAAGATATTCAGGCTACCCCTCTCTGCAGCCTACCTGCCCTCAAGGTGAGACCTGGTTCCTCTGGCCAGAGATCAGTGGAGATTGAAAAATCTGAAGGGGCCAAGTGCTGTGGCACATGCCTATAATTCCAGCAGCTTGGGAGGCTGAGGCAGGAGGATCACAAGTTCAAAGCCAGCTTCCACAAAAGTGAGGCACTAAGCAATTCAGTGAGACCCTGTCTCTAAATAAAATACAAAATAGGGCTGGGAATGCGGCTCAGTGGTTGAATGCCCCTGAGTTCAATCCCTGGAATACCCCCGCCCCCAAAAGAGAAAAATCTGAAGGGGAGTCAGAGACAGTTAGAGGAGGAGGAGGCTGGACAGCTGCCTCTGGCCTAGCCTGTAAGACTGAGTCTCCTTCACCCACAGCCAGGTGAGAAAGCTGTGCAGGTGATGCATGGTGCTCCCTTATTGAGGTATCCATAAGCAAGGAGGCAGGACAGAGGGGAAACAGGCTAAGAGGTGAAGGGAGTAGCTTGGGGTCAGAGACTGATGATGGTTGAGGTGAGATTCAAACCCACATCTGCCTGGCACCAAGCCCCTGTTTCTTTTATTTATTTTTATTATAGATGGACAAAATACCTTCATTTTATTTATTTTTATGTGGTGCTGAGGATCCAACCCAGTGCCTCACACGTGTGAGGCCAGCTGCTGGGATTATAGGCATGAGCCACTGAGCTGTAATCCCAGCCCAAAGCCCTATTTCTCTTTTTTTGGGGCGGGGCGGGGGGTTACTGGGGATTGAGCTTAAGGGCACCCAACCACTGAGCCATAACCCCAGTCCTACTTTGTACTTTATTTAGAAGTCTCACTGAGTTCCTTAGTGCCTCACTATTGCTGAGACTGGCTTTGTACTTCCGATCCTCCTTCCTCAGCCTCCCAAGCCTCAGGGATTACAGGCATGTGTCACCATGCCCAGCTAAGCTCTGTCTCTTAATTAGAGTGACCACACATCTCATTTTGCCCGGGACAGGCCCTATTTGTGCCTACTGTCTTGACGTGGTTAGTAACAGTGCCACTTTTAACTGTCATTATTTCTGTTTTTTGTGATTAATGAAACAGTCACTCTGCTCTTTTTTTCCAACTTGGGACCTTCATGTTCCCCTGCTCCTGGGTATAAGGTCTGCTGGGTATTTTCCCTAGTCCCATAAGTCAGACTTGTTGGACTGCAGGCCCAGTCTGGGGTGGATCAACCCTGCTCAGGGTGCCCTGTTGTGCTGTGGGCGTAGGCGTCACATGCCTCTTGGCGAGAAGTGGAAGGACTGAAGGAGCAGGGAAGCCAGTGGCATCAGGGAGGCTGGGGAGGAGCTCCACTGGGGCATCCTGGGGACTGCCTGGAGGTGCAGGTAGGCTTCCATGGATGACGATGTGGGGAAGAGGGCAAGAGCAGGAGGAAATAGTGAGCAATGGCCTGGAGGTGGGATCGTGCATTTGTGCCCTGGAATGGGGCAGAGGCCAGTGAGCAGCACCCCAGTTGGACCTCATCTGGGCTGGCGGCTGCTTCTAGGGTGCAAGCCCTGCGAGACTGGCAAGGGCACTCCATGGGCCCCATTCTCGGTAGAGGGACACTGCCCTTCCCTGGGGTTTTCCTACATGCTCTGCCTTCCGGAAACCACTTCTTCTTTCCTGGGCCCAGGCCTGACTCAGCAGGCCCTGATACCCTGTGCTAGGCAGGCAGGGGTCAGCCAGGAGGTTTCCTGGAGGAGGTGGCTAGAATAGGGCATGGAGGTTTACTAGAAGCCCTTTTATCCCCTTTCCTGGGACATAGTTCCCTTCCTGCTGGGAGAGGAGCCCTTTGCCTGTGTTCTCCTCTCCCTTCTTGCCTTGGTCACTGGGCAGCCATCGGAGCTGTGATTTTGTTCCCTTTGGATAGAGTGTCAGCTCTAGAGCTGGCTAGACCCTCAGCCTAGGTGGCTATTGTGAGGAGACAGGCCTCAGAGAAGTCCTTATACTTCTCAGGCCTCATTTGCCAGGCTGTAGTGCTGGGATGGGTTCAAATCCAGCTGTAGGCCCAAGGACAAATTACTTAAAATTTCTGCACCTCAGTTTTCTCATCTGTAAAGTAGGATAACAAGCCTTAAATTATAGAGCCCTTGAAAAAAAGTAAATGAATGAATCCATGTAAAGTACTTAGAAGGTGGCTGGGAACACACATACATAGACACACATCATTTATTAATAAGAATTAATTAATCTAGATAGTCATTTGTTTATAAATTTCTGCTCAGTTCTGAGGATACAAGAACTGAGAAGGTGGGGTGGAGGCAGAGGTCTCAGTATGGTAGACCCCTTGCCACAAGATAGTCAGGATAGGGATGAGGACAGACTGGGAACCAGAGTGAAGGGGCTGATGCCACCTGGATACCAACAGTGAGGAGCAGTGGGCAGCCTGGCCCTGTTGTCCCCCTCTTCCCATCAGCCCTTAGACCTGGGCAGGTGTTGGGAGCTACACCCCTTCAGCCTTGCTTGGTGCTCTCGGCATCTGGGAAGCAGCAGAGTGATTGATGGACTTGCCTGTCAAGCAGTCTCCAAGGACATTGTTCTGATCAGCTGGGGCATGTTCTTGGGCCTGTGGGCACTCAGTCATTTGGTTCTTTGGTCATCATTCGTACTTCATTTGCTTCTCTTTCAACCCTAATGACCAGTTTACCCACCTGCCTATAGACTACCTTTCCTCCCACCCCCTTGTCCAACGTGCTCTTGCCACCAACTCAGCCAGGCCCTCCCTGCCCTGGATAGTGGGAATATTGAGTCAGATGCTGCCCCTGCTCTAAAGGGACCTAAGGGTCAAATGGGGGAGAATAGGTCAAATGGTACTGTGCCCACCAGAGGGTTTTCTTAAGTTCAGCTAAATGTTCAAGCTCTTGAGACCACCACAGCCCCCTTGAGACCACAACAGCCCCCTCGTTATCAGATTCTCAGAGAGGCAGACAGGGTCCAGAGCAGCTTGCCACCAGCAGCTGCAGGTCTTCCTCTGCTATGGGGTCCTCGTGGCATACATGCAACATCTGCACGTTCTCCATGGTCCTCCAGGTGACAGCTCAGAGGGAGGAGCTGAGGAATCAGAGTGGACATGTGGCTTGCAGGGAGCCAAGCCTGGTGTAGAAACCTCTTGTGCCAAGAGGGCAACCACACATGCGTGGCTTTAGGCCCTGCTTAGGATGTACCAGTGGGGGAAGCTCAAGCTCTGGCTTATCTCCCAGATTCAGAGTCTACTGACAGGCCAGCGTGCCGGTGCAGTGCTGCCTAGTAACAAGGCTGCCAGGCCACCAGGAGGAGTGTCCAGAGGGAGAGGGCTGGAAGCCAGCTGAAGGTCAGACTGCACAGGAGCGGGTGGGCACATTCCCTTTGGTTATGCACTACAATTCGGAAGTAGTTACGTGTCCTAAGAAACACGGGTTGGAGCTAGGGGTTCAGATCTGCTTAAACACTAGCACAGTAACTGTCACAAGGGACTTTGAAGTATCATTTGGAATAATTTTGTATGAAGTTCATAATGGAGGGAAACATAGGGACTAGGGGAGCAGACGGGAGGGCTCAGGGCAGACTTTCAGAGGAGGACTTGATCTAGAGATGAAGAAGGGCGTACAACAGCCCCATGTTGACCCAGTCCTGCCCTCCTAGTCCTCCTTGCTTTTAACACACTGTTAGTCATTGCCAGGAATATGGGAACAGACCAGACCAAAAATAACCAAGGGAAGCTGCCCACTCTGATGCTCTTTGTTGGCCCCTGTAGGACACTGGCAGAGGCAGGTGGTGGGACCTGGCCTCCAGGGCTCTGCACTTGTTCTAGCTGGTGTTGCCTGAACATCCTGTGTACTGTCCTGTGTCATATCTTGTCTGTTAATCCCCCACCACCCTCCTAGTGCAAATAGTTCCATTTTATAGAAGAGGAAACTGAGGTTCAGAGAGGCACGGCACTTGTCCCAGAACACACAGGAGCTAAAGAGACTGAGGCGATATTCAGACCTTGCCTTTGATGACAAAGACCAGTCAGAAACAGGTGGTGTGAGAGCCCAGGAGGTCCTGAACCTGTCCCTGGAGAGTCGGGGGAGGAGAGCGATAGTGGAGATGAAGAAGTGGTGTCATGAGAGATGAGTATGTTGGGGCGAGGTGAGTTGAGGGGTCTGAGGGTACCCAGGAGGTAGTATTGAAGTCTGGACAAGAGAGAAGTTAGCCTTAGTCCAGAGACCCACAGTTCAGGGGCTCAGGAGTTGGTTTTGGAGACTGTGGTTTGTGCCTTCAGCCTCAATGTCCATTTCATTTCTGTCTCATTTCTTTGCCAACAAATGCCTTCCTACCATTAAAAGTGCAGATTCAGCATCACCTCCCCCAGGAAGCCTTTTCTGATCTCCATTCTAGTCTCTATCCTTCCTCCAGAGTGGACACCCAGTGGCTAAATTCTGGAATATTGGGGATAGATGACCAGCTCATTCAGGTTGAGGAGGGCGCCCGCTTCCCTTAGACTTTGTGCCGGGAAAGGTCTCTGTCAGGAAAGTAAGGTGAGGGGCTATGTGAGGAGCTCCGGTGGGGGGGCGTCTGTAGGGTGTGGGTGTGCGGCAGCCAGGTGAGCTGGCTCCCAGGGCTTGAGTCCTGCCTCTGTCGCTTAGTGACACTGAGCATCTGTTCTGTTCCCAGCCTTCCCTCCAAGGAGGAATTGTTGCCACCAGTGTCATCCCATCCACAGCCAGAGCCAGAGAAGCCTGCATCCACCGTCCCCCAGGGGCCTCCCTGCCCCCCAGAGATCCCTCCGAAGCCTCCCCGCCAGCCACCGGAGTTTGGTGGGTACTGCAGCCAGATGGGGCTCCTGGCAAGTTACCTGGGATTAGCCCTGGAGAGCATGCGAGGGTGCCGCTTACATTGCTGCCTGCCTGCCACCAGCCCACTGTGCTGCCTGAGCAGGTCATGGGTCTCCCTGAGTATCATTTTTATCTGCAAAATGGAGACTGCTTGCCAGGCGTGGTGGTGCATGCCTATAATCCCAGCAGTCTGGGAGGCTGAGGTAGGAGGATTGCAAGTTGAAAGCCAGCCTCAGCAACTTAGTGAGGCCCTGAGCAACTTAGCGAGACCCTGTCTCTAAATAAACTATAAGAAGGGATGGGGAAGTGACTCAGTGGTTAAGTGCCCCTGAGTTCAATCCCTGTACCAAAAAATGTAAAAAAAACTAAATAAATAAAATGCCTGATCTCCTGACAACTACGGGCGGGACACAGCCTGAGTGAGCCTTGGCTTCAGGGTAGGGAGTGCTCCCGTGGAGCCGGCTTGCGACTGTGGGGTGGTCTACTTTCCTTAATTCTTGTTGCCTTTGTAGCCTTTTGGGGGCCGTCCCTGCTCCGACCTCCAAGCTTGTTGCCTGGTCAGACCTCCCTGTGGTGGCCCTGCCTCTTCTTTGATATAAATAGCACTTCCTGTCCCTGTGCCTTTTTTGAAAGCCAGGCCAGGGTGGGGGTGGGAGCTGCGGTATGGAGGTGGGCTTTTTGAAGCCAAGCTGCCAAGTCTCGAGAGGTATGGCCAAGCCATTCGCTGCAGGGTCTCCCCCACCTCTTTCTCACCAGATGACTCGGACTATGATGAAATCCCAGAGGAGGGGCCTAGGGCCCCGGCCAGAGTGATGACCAAGAAGGTGGGCAGGACAGCGGGCAGGTTGGGTTGCCTGCTGTTGGTATGGAGGGAGGGCCGCCCAGCTGCCTCCTAGACCTGGGGACCACCAGAGAGTGGGCTGCTGTTCCCCAAGGGAGTTCCCTTTCCCATTTCTTTGTCTTGCCATGCAGGGGTAGAGTCCAGTGCAACCCCAGAACCTTGAACCAGGGGTCTGGGCTCTGCTCTGGGGCTTCTGCTTCAACTGTATCTACATATGTGTGGCCTGCCCCCTCCCTCTGTGTCTGTCTTGGAGCAGCTGTCCCTCTGTCTATTTTACTTTCTGTGTTCCCATGCCACCCTCTCTCAGTGCTTGTCTTCTCTCCCTCGTCCTGAGTCTTTCTCTTTCTTAGCTTTCTGTCTTTGTCCCTGTCCTAGATCTCTGTGTGCCACTGGGTCTCTGGTCCTTATGAGCCTGGGTCCCAGCATGGTCTTAGCTGGCAGGGGTGGGGGTGGGAAGAAGCAGAAGTAAAAATGCTGAGTTGTGTAGGGAAGGGATGGAGTGGACAGAGGTGCACGTGGCAACCCCCGGGGCTGTGATCTGGGGCTTGAAGGGAAGCCTGATGTTGAGTGGGCCTGGGGGGGTAGGAGGAGCCCCCACCACGCCAAGTCCCACGGGCCGTGCGCGTGGCCAGTCTGCTGAGTGAGGGGGAGGAACTGTCTGGGGACGAGGAGGATGAGGATGACCACGCCTACGAGGGTGTCCCCAAGTGAGTGTCTACTCCTCTGGTAGTTCCCCCTCCCAGCCATCCTCCTTTTCAAAGCCCAGCCCAGCCCTCCCATCTCCCCAGCCCCCATCCTGAGGGAATCTCTATCCACTGCTCTCCTTCCCTCCTCTTTTCCTAGTGGTGGATGGCACACCAGTGGCCTGATCTCACCCTTGCCCAGCCTGACGCCTGAGCTCCCACCACAACCCATGGAGGAGCTGCCTGGGGGCTCCAGCCCCATTACACCGGTCATCAAGGCTGGCTGGCTGGACAAGAACCCACCACAGGGGTGAGTGAGGCCTCTTGGGTCCTGCTGGTGTCCACATGGGGTGGGCGTGCTCCAAGACACTGGTGTCATGGTTCCAGAGATCAGTGGGCTCCAAGATTATTTGAGGGAGACTCCTTCTGACATGCCCTAACCACTATGTTTTATTGTTCTTAAGAAGTTCTATTTTGAGTCTGACTTCAGTTACTCTTGCTATAGGGAAAGCCCATCTTCCTCTCAGTGACTACTTGAGATCATTCCTCCCTTGTACCTGGCTGATCCTAACTTTGTGTATGACTGCTGGGGTGGTGGGGCTAGGGTAATGCTGGAACCTCTCCCGTGACGTCCAGTCCTTTGATCTGTGGTCCTTCTGCCTCTTCTCTCCAGATCTTATATCTATCAGAAGCGATGGGTGAGATTGGATGCTGATCACCTGCGATATTTTGACAGTAACAAGGTGAGGCTTACTTAGATCAGTCCTGACTTGACCCCTGCTCAGGCTGGGCCTGGGCTAAACTTTGATGTTGGATCCAGGTGGAGTCTAACTGAGTCCTCATTAACAGTGTGGTCTGACTCTTTGAACTGTGTCCTCCTGGCCCACAGGCAATGTTTGGGGTCAGCACAGGGCAATCCCTGATCACTGCCGGAGACCTCTGCAGCCTTCGGTTCAGCTGAGGCTGAGGGAAGCAAGGGAGGTCCCCACCGCCCCCATGAAATATAGCTCTTGTCTCTTCCCCAGGATGCCTACTCTAAGCGCTTCATCTCTGTGGCCTGCATCTCCCGTGTGACTGCCATTGGGGACCAGAAGTTTGAAGTGATCACTAACAACCGGACTTTTGCTTTCCGGGCAGAGAGTGATGGTGGGGAGTGGGAGGGGTTGCATGTGTGGAGCGGGGAGAGGAAGCTGGAAGTTTGGTCAGATAAGGAGGAGGAAGAGACATCTGCTCCCTTACCTCACACCTAGGGAGGGAGGGAAAGAAGGGGCTGCTCTGACTGGCCCCCCACACTCCCTGTCTCTCAGAACCACATATTCCCGTATGCAGGGGAAACAGGCTCAGACAAGTGAAGTGACTTACCCAGCCTAAGTGGCCCAAGCTGGGACAGGGGCCTGAACTTGTTTGAGTCAGAGAAGTCAGGCAGAGGAAGAAGCGCCAGTGTGGGTGGACTTCTGGCAGAGGTGTTTCCCAAGGAGCCTAGGGCTAGGAGACCCTGGGGCTCCCTGCCAGGCTGAGCTCAGACTTATCCCTTCTTCTCTGCCTAGTGGAGCGGCAGGAGTGGATGCAGGCCCTGCAACAGGCAGTGGCTGAGCAGCGTGCTCGGGCCCGGCCGGCTGGTGCTTATCTGTTGGGAGTTCGAGGCTCAGAGCAGCCAGAGCATGCTGGCAGCCTGGAGTTGCGTGGCTTTAAAAATAAGCTATATGTGACCGTGGTCGGTGACAAAGTGCAGCTCTATAAGAATCTGGAGGTGAGAAGGTTGGGTCAGGCCACTGAGGCTCCCCCTGACCCATGACTGCCACCCTGGTCCTTCTTCCTGTCCCTTGCCCATTCTCCGAGCCCTGTACTTTCAGCTCCACCTTCCCGGCACTGAGCTCAGGACTTTGCCTCCCCTCCTCTGCCTCTGGATCTCAGCCCATCCCTTGCCTGCTCCCTGAGCACTGCCCTCCTGTCACCTCCTGGCTCTGGCACCTGCTCCTCGTTGCTCTGGACCCCGAGCGCAGGCCATTTCCCTATGCTCCGATCCCTGAGTCCTCCCTTATCTTTTTCCTGGGCACTTTCTAGTCCACTGAGGCCTCACCCTCATCCCTCCCTCTCCTGCCAGGAATACCACCTGGGCATCGGCATCACCTTCATCGACATGAGTGTGGGAAACGTGAAGGACTTGGATCGGCGCAGCTTTGACCTCACCACGCCCTACCGCATCTTCAGGTGTGCCTGCCCCCCAGGCTCGCCTGCATCCTCGCCTTTAGTGTTCTTTTCATGTATGTGGAGCTGCCCCTGCTAGGATGGTTTTCTTCCCACCCGGCCCTGCCCCACCTATGCAGGTCCTTTGCTTTTTCTTGCTGAGCTGCTCGGGTCTCTCCTTTCTAAGTAGACGCCTCACTGCACTCTGCTTCCCACTGGTCCCCCCGTACCCCATGCCTACCGCACAGCTCACAGGTCGCCCCTACCAGCTTGCTTCACCAGCCAGCTGCTCCCCCACTCCACTCCCCCCTGCTGTCCTCTGGCTGCCCTGCTTCCCCCCACCCGCCATTGGTGCTGGGGATCAATCCAGAGCCTGTGTATGCGAGGCAAGCCCTCTTCTCTCAGCTACTCCCCAGCCCAGCCCTGCTCTCTTGATAGTGCTTCTGCTGTCATGAATATTCCCTCCACTCAAAGGTTCCTCATTTTGTCTTGAGGGTACGTTCTGGATGCTCCTCCCTGGTCCCCAGCTTTCCTTCAGTGTCTGCGTCTATCCTCTGTTCTCTCCCTGAGCAGCCTTACCACTTCCAGACTTTCAGCTGCCACTTCTGAGGCACCATGCTGTGCCTGGGTCCCAACCACGGGCCCACCTCTGATTAGTTGTGTGACCTGGGAGACTACTGTCTTGTCTGTGCCCCTGTTTCCTAGAGACTGAGGACTCCAACACTGTGGGAACCACTCTGTATCACCATTCTCACCGCCACCATCTTTACCCTTAGCCCAGCTGGCTCTCCAGTTCTAGGCCTGTGTGTCTGACAGCTCTGTGGACATCTCCTTTTGTAGGGTCCCCTGATCCTCCCAGGGCTCCATCTCTACCCCTGAGAATCCCTGCGTCTCCTTACCACTGTGCAAATCTGCCACCGCCCCTGTCTTGCCCCACCTCTATCTGTTCCTGTTCCTTTGCCCTTAACCTCTTGGCCTGGGCCTGACTGGCCCTCTGACCCCAGACCCCTACGTCTTCACTCTGTGGCTGACTGTGCCACTTTGCTCTGTCCACTGTGACCATAGAGTGTTAGCCGTTTCGTTGAAAGCCAAGTTTTTATTTGTCCATTTCTTACATTTGAAGTACTAATGACATCTTGGCCTGAGATTTTTGCTGTAATTCTTTTCCTTCTTCTTTTTTTGGTGGCACTAGGGATTGAACCCCGGGCCTTGCACATACTAGACAAGCACTCTACCACTGAGCCTTATCCTCAGCCCTTTTTAAAATTTTACTTCAAGATAGGGTCTTGCTCAGTTGCTGAGGGTCTTGTTAAGTTGCTGAGGCTGGCCTTGAGCTTGTGATCCTCCTGCCCCAGCCTCCTTAGTAGCTGGATTACAGGTGTGTATCACTGCACCGGCAGTCCAGAATTCTTTTTTTTTTTTAATATTCATTTTTCAGTTGTAGTTGGACACAATACCTTTTTTTTTTTTTTACTTTTATGTGGTGCTGGGGATCGAACCCAGGATCTCACGCGTGCTAGGCAAGCGCTCTACCGCTGAGCCCCAGCCCCAGAATTCTTAATTAGCACACAACTGCAACCACCCATGTGATGGGGTTTCCCCTTTATTTCTGTTTTACAGAGGCCACTCACTCTCCTCATCAACCTTAATTAGGTTGATTGGATGGATGTTCAGCACAAAGGGCTTCCCCCACCTGAAATACAGGGTATGGTTGGGTGCAGGCACATAAAGATAGACTTGGAACTTGCTAGGCTTTGGAAGCTTTGGGAATTCCAGTGACAGGCTTTTGTGGATAAGGGGAGTCTTCAGCCCCTCTTGTAAAGTGGTGCTGACATCCATTACCTCTCTATCAGTAACGCCTTTCTCAGCATGGTGGTAGGTGCATGTGGTGCAGAATCTTGAATATACGTGTGGCTTGGAGGTGGTGGTGGCAGCAGGGAAAGAGCCAGGGGGGTCTTTTTAGGGTGGGGGACACTCATCCATTTATTGTCCATCTAGGACTTTCTACATGAAGAGCAGGAAATGGTATGGCAGGGCTCCAGGTATCTGTGTATATTGGGTCGACTGGGAATAGGAAGGCAGTTAAAGATGCGGATGGCATAGGGGTCTTTTAGAGACATATCTGTACCCTTCCCTTACTCCCACTTCAAACCACTATAGGTGCTCGGCTGTGCTGGGGGTACGCCTTGACCTCCTCTGCCTAGCACAGGCCCATGTGGTCCTGGAGTGCCCATGTTGCCCTGCCCCTCTGCACATACTGTCCCCTCTGTCTAGAATGCCCTTCCACCACCATTCACCTAGCTCAGCCCTGCTCATCTATCAGGTCTTAGTCCATGCATCATTTCTTTCCACCTCCCTGGCCTGGGCAGAGTCCCCCCGCTCCATCTATACTTCAGATTCAGTGTCCTTTCCTTTGTCCATGCCTGCCTTCCTCACCAGACTCAGAAGGCCTCTCTTTTCCAGGAACTCCTAAAGCCTTGTTCTGCACCCCTCCCCGCCCTGATGCTGTGCTCCTTCCTGCTGCCCCAAGTCCCTCTGGGCCCTTTCCCAGCAGTCCTCTTACTCCTGTGTTCCCAGCTTCTCGGCCGAGTCAGAGCTAGAGAAGGAGCAGTGGCTGGAGGCCATGCAGGGAGCCATTGCTGAGGCTCTGTCCACCTCGGAAGTGACTGAGCGCATCTGGGCCGCAGCCCCCAACAGGTTCTGTGCTGACTGCGGGGCTGCACAGCCCGACTGGGCCTCCATCAACCTCTGCGTCGTCATCTGCAAGCGCTGTGCAGGTGTGTGTGTGCTAGGGGCTCCAGGCATACGGGGTCAGGGTTGGTGAGTTGGGTCAGCAGGTTGCCTGTGCTGCAAAAGGGACTGGAGTCACTGTTCATAAAGTTGCTCTTTCCCGCTAAGCCCTTCTCACCAGGTTTAACCTTAAGTCCTTACACAGCATGGCAGGGGTTCCATTTTCACAACATGGGTGAGGACATTGAGGCACAGATAAGGAAAATGGTTTGTTCAAGATCACCCCCAGGGACTGGAGTTGTGGCTCAGTGGTAGAGCGCTTGCCTAGCAAGTGTGAGGCACTGGGTTCGATTCTCATACCGCATGTAAATAAATAAGATAAAGGTCCATAAAAACTAAAAAATATTTATTTATATATATAAGAAGATCACCCAACAATTAAGTGAGTCTGGATTTAAGCCTAGGCCGATTGGGTCTGGTATCCCTGTGACATTGGAAGACTAGGGGGAGGTCAGCCAGGCGGGTGGAAAGAACTGCTGTTTGTCCAGAGGGGCTAGGAGGCAGGAGACCCAGGGACCTGTCAGATTTGTGGATCAAACTCTGACTGGTGGCTAGAAGCTGAGATTGGAGACCAGTCGGAGGACTACTGCAGGGTCCAGGATAGAGAGCAGTGGGAGGTCTGGCCTGGGGAAGGGATGAGTACTCAGGGTTGTTTAAGATCTGTGTTGTAAAAGTCTCAGTGAGGAGGGTGAGAATGAGAGGGTGGAGCCCGGATGCATTCACCCCAATGAATTTATTAAGGGGTTTCCCTGTGCCAGATGCTGTGCCAGACATTGAACCCTCATGGGAGCTGTCAGTGCCCAGGTGGTGGCTTTGGTTGACTGCAAGTGGGAATCCTCTGAAGTGGGGATCCATGGGGAGGGACAGGCCTGGGGAAAGCACTAAGCTCGGGGAAGAACCCCAAGGCCTGTGGGACTTCTAAGGCAAAGGTTCAGGGGTCTGGGGCCATGAGGTTGGGGTACAGGAAAGTGATGACCCAGCTGGGGAACATATGAGAAGGGCATCAGCTCATGGAGTCGTGAGGCTGACTGGAGGGGACAACATAGGTGTTCCAAGGGAGGCAGGCCAAGGCCAGAGCCGCCCCAACTCCCCTCCCTGTTCCAGGGGTCCCTGTCGTTACCTGTAGTTGAGCAAGGCTTCATTCCCTGCAGCCCCTCCTTTCATTCTGCCAAGGTTTACTGGTGCTTATCGTATGCCAGGCTTTGTTCTGGGCAGTGAGGATGAAGCCCTGAAAAGGGCAGGCAGGACTCGGGCAGCCTGCAGGCTGCTGACATTCTAGCAGGGAGGCAGAAAACACAAAAACCAAGAGAAGTGCTGGGAGTGCTAGAGAGAATGTGCTGTTGTCCAGGAATCCCTCCCGGAGGAGGTGATGTGTCAGTAGAGATCTGAAGGACAGGAAGGAGTGGCATTGGGGGATGGGGATGGGAGTCCAGGCAGAAACATGGGGCTGGAGGAAGTGTGGGGAATTTAGATTGGTCCCAGGGACCACTGGAGGTTGTAAAGAGGGATATGCCTTTTAAAGCCATCTCACTGCAGGGCTGAGTGGAAAGTGGCCTGACAGAACCAGCCCAGTAGGAGTCTAGGGAGGCAGGGTGGTGGCGGGATGGTGGGATGGGGGTGGCAGCAAGAGTCCAGGTGAGAGGATGTGTGAGGCACTGGGACCTGGTCAGATTTGTGGATCAGACTCTGACAGGTGGCTAGAAACTGAGATTGGAGACCAGTTGGGGGACTACTGCAGGGTCCAGGATGGAGAGCAGGAGGAGGTCTGGCGAGAGTTGCAAGGCACAGTGCTGTGATGTGGGGAGCAGGGGTGCATGATCAGGCTCCAGAGCTATGCCTCAGGTAGAGCCTCAGACCCGGGCCCTGGGGCCTGCTGGGGTAGGTGGTACTCACATGAAGGGGAGGGCCCGTGTGACTGGAGTCTGGCCCTCTGTTTACAGGGGAGCACCGGGGCCTGGGCGCTGGAGTCTCCAAGGTGCGGAGCCTGAAGATGGACAGGAAGGTGTGGACAGAAACACTCATCGAGGTGGGCAAAGCCCCTGCTTGCCACCAATACTTAAGATTTGCCCCCCTCAGCTGCTCTCTGGGTCTCCCACCTCCTGTTCCCATCTCACTGACCCCAGCACCTTGGAGCTAGGGAGACCTTTGTGATAATGTAATGGGTGGGGATCTTAGAAAAACTGACTTTTGGCAAAGTCAGCAAACTAGCCAGAGAGCTAAGAATGTGTTTAGTTTTCAAGGGTTATAAAAAAAAGGAAGATGTAACATAGACTGTATAAGCCTGTAAAACGCAAAACTATTTATTATTTGGCCTTTTTGGAGGATTTGCTGAGCCCTGATCTAGTTCAACTGTCATCCCATTGTACAGATGTGGCTGTAGTGGGCTTGAGATTACCCAGCAAATCCATACCGACCACACAGCCCTGCCCCTCTCCATCCTACCTCCTGGCTGACCTGGGCCTTCTCCTCCACCTCAGACATCCCCTCAGAGCCTCTTCCCCTTCACCTTATCTGAACTCATCCACACCAGTGGATATGAGGAGGCAGGCTTTGGGATACACACAGATGTAAACATGTGTTTCAGCGTACTTGAAGTTCCCTGGTACCCAGATGTGTGGTAGTTGCAGTGGAGAACGTGGAGCAGGAGGCTAGTCCCAGGGACCTACCTCGTAGGGCATCGCTGACAGCATCAGCCAAGCTGGGGATTTCAGAGCAATCTGGGCGTCACATCCATTTGCTCTGTCCTCACCGTGTGTGTGTGGTACATAAGGACTTTGCAGTTGTTAATTAACTTGACTTTCAAAACAATCCTGTGAGTTAGGATTAAATACCCAGTATACAGTTGAGGACGCTAAGGCTCAGGGAGAAAAATAACTTGTTAAAGCCACAAAGCAAGTCTGTAGTGGTAGGGCCTATTTCTGCTTTTTCTCTACTGTGACTCCAGCACCCTGCATAGGACCTGAGAAAGGGGAGGTGGGAAACCAAGGAAATTGCTGTGGAATGAATGTTGAGCACAGAAAAGAATGAACTAGCTCCTCAAATGCTGGACCCCTGCACTCTCCTAGAATTTGCACCCCGCCCCCCACCCAGACAGGAATGTCAAGACAGGAGATGTTTCCAAAACCCCTGCCTATCCCATTGGCTGACAGGTTTGACAACACCCCCACCCAGGACAGACTCAGGAATGCAGAGTTCCAGATGTGGGGCTGGGTGGGGCAATGACAGGGTCCCCAGGGACCAAGCACCAGGCCTGGGGCGTTCACCTGTCAGACTGTCTGCCTCTTGTCCTGTGCTGAGCCAAGGAACTGGCTTAGCGCCCATGACTTAGTTGGGGGCACTCACAGCTCCCAGCAGGCCAGGCCACTCCTCTCTTTCCCCATTGGGGAATGGGGGAGTGTCTTAGCTCTCCAAGGCCACAACCTCAGGGAAACCCACCCCCTCCCCCATCGGTCACCCCCTCTGACCTCTTTCCCATACCCGCAGCTCTTCTTACAGCTGGGCAATGGTGCTGGGAACCGCTTCTGGGCAGCCAATGTGCCCCCCAGCGAGGCCCTGCAGCCCAGCAGCAGCCCCGTTGCCCGGCGGCACCACCTGGAGGCCAAGTACAGGGAGGGCAAATACCGCCGCTACCACCCGCTCTTTGGCAACCAGGAGGAGCTGGACAAGGTCAGGGCACTGTACCTCTTGGGCCCTTGAGCTCATCCCCTTGTCCCTGCTTTGTCAGGACCCCTTGCAACTATCCCTTGTCTTCTTGCCACTCCATTTCTCTATCTCAACCCATCTTTTCTACCAGCTCAGAACAATGAGTTGGTAAGTGGGGAAACTGAGGCCCAGAGGGAAGAAGAACCTAAGGAAACATTAGGGCAACGTAGGAGGAGCTAGGCCTTGGGCCTGTACCATGTTCCTACCATCTGTCTGCCTCCCTCTGGATTCCTCTGTCTCCCGCACCCCGTCCTGTTCCCTCTGAATCCTGCCAAAAGGAGTGAACTTGATGGGGATGCTATTTCCTGTCAGGCTCATGAAAAACAGCTGGACTGTGCCGACCCACCCCTATCCACACCCTATTCAAGATGAGGCCCCATATGGGCCCCAGGCCCTGACAGGCTGGGAGCCAAGTCTTCTGTCTTGATCTGGCTCAGCCTGGGTGGGAGGCAGCTTGCTCAAGGCAGGGGGATGCCATTGGTGACCTCTGGTCAGCCCTCAGTCCCTCCCCCAACCGGCCCCATCCCAGCAGGCTCAGTCTAGCTCTAGAAGCCCAGTGGGAGCCAGGCTTCCACCTCCCAGGGACCCAGGCGTCCTGCCCCCAGCCCAGCCCAGTCTGGCCTGCAAGCCAGGAGGGCGGCAGATCCCATTGGTTGGGAAGGTCAGGCAGGCGGAGAGGAATTCAAATGTGGGAGGACTTAGCTACAGAGTCCCCCTCTGCCCCTCCACAAGGCAGAGGGAGCTTGAGATCCTCCTCCAAAGGCTGACCGACAGCTGTGTCCCAGGGCTGCCATCTGGGTGAGGCCGCTGCTAGGTGACCTGTGGCCGCCCTCCCTCCCCTTGTCTTTTCTGTTATTCTCTGTCTTCCCTCTGTTCTTTCAGTCTGAGGAGTCTTTCTATCTGGAGCCACCCCAGACCTGGGTGACTCCTTCCTCTTTCTTCTTTTCCTCTCCTCTACCCCATCCCCACTCATTCTCTGCTTGAGCTCACCCTCCCTCCCTTCTCCCAGGCCCTGTGTGCTGCAGTCACCACCACAGATCTGGCAGAGACCCAGGCACTTCTGGGCTGTGGGGCTGGGGTCAGCTGCTTCTCAGGGGACCCGCAGGCCCCCACGCCCCTGGCTCTCGCCGAGCAGGCTGGGCAAACACTGCAGATGGAGTTCCTTCGGAACAACCAGAACACGGGTGAGTGGCTGGTGGGACTGTTCCCCTTGTCAGATCCTCCTGCTGATAGGGACTGGCCCTTTGGAGGGATTTGTGGGGTGAAGGTCCAACAAGGACCAGAGGCTTGATTTATAGGCTACTCTGAAACTGCTGTCACAGGTCCTCGAGGCACCCTGGGGCAGCAGTATGTGATGTGGAGTGTGTTTGGATTTGTGTACACTTGTGCTTCATATATGTGTTCATTTGTGTCTCTGTGACTGTTATGTATTTGTGTGCCCCTTCCTGACTTGCAGGGTGGGTCCTGCAGGGTGGCATCTGTGTGTCAGGGCATGCACGCTTCAGAGTTGCTCTGGGTCTGTTTCCTTGTGGCGGGGAGGGGTGTTGAGGGCTTTGAGGTTTGCACATGCAGTGTGTGTCTGTTGCTGTGTAGAGGCAGTGTTGCATTTCTGTGTGTGTGACCTGCAGTGGACATGGCAGCCCTGTCCACTGCTCTGTTTGGGTGGAGCCCAGTCACAGACCTGGGTTGGGTCCCATTTGGCTCCCACTCCTTGGGTGGGTGAGGAGGGGATGGTGGGGGTGAATGGCACTGGTCATGGCCCAGGCCTAGCCTCTGGAGCCACATCCCAGGACTGAGGGTGGAGCTCAGTGGCTGGGGTTCTGGGCTCTGGGCCATGGGCGGGTGGGGTATGCCGGGTTGGAGAGAGCCCAGGTGTCCAGGAGGCATAGGAGACCACCCAGCTGGCTTGGTCTGGAGGGGTGTAGGACACTCCCCCCTCACTTGCATTGCTGACCACTGGGAGCAAGGCTGGAGCCAGGCTGCTTTGCTGGGCTTCATGCTGTCTGGGACAAACCTATCTCCAGGGATTGTTATTGAGTTGGCCCAAAGCCCCCCTCATTCTAGCATGCCTGGCCTTGTGCCTCCAATTGGGAGTAGGAGAGGGGCTGGGAGTCAGGATGGTCCTGGAGCTAGGTTTTGGGAATGAGTGGAGCTCCCACAGGTGGGCAGTAGTGGGGAAATAGCTTGTACGGAACCTAGGAGGTGTGACTAGGAGCCTGGAAGTGCTGCTCAGGAAGCTGGGGGGCTGAGCTGGGACTTGAATGTGAGCCTGGGTGCCCAATACAAGAAGCCACCCTCCTGGATGGCCATCATGACCAGCCATTCTTTCCCCTGCTCCAAAGAGGTCCCACGACTGGACTCGATGAAACCCCTGGAAAAGCACTACTCAGTTGTCCTGCCAACCGTGAGCCACAGCGGCTTCCTCTACAAGACTGCTTCTGCTGGCAAGCTGCTTCAGGATCGTCGTGCCCGGGAAGGTGGGTGCTATACCACCCCCACCCTGGCCATGGCATTCTGGCATGGCTGCAGGGCCAGGGAAGCCAGAGCTAGACAGTCTGGTGGACCCATGAGGGTGCCAAATGGACTAGCAGAGTCACCTGGAAGGCTCCCTGGGTATGTCTCTGGTACATAGTAGGTGCTTAAAAGATGGGCTAATTGGGGGTGTGGCAGGGCAGTGCAGAGCAGGTCACTGCCAGAGTTTCCTTTCCACTAAAGAAGCCCGGACTCAGCCTCTGGGTGTGGTTCCATGCTGGGCATCTGGTATTTGGAACCTGTGGATGGTAGAAGGTTAGACGACTAACTTGAAGCTACATCCTATTCTGATCTCAGCCTTCCATTTACTCCTCAATCCTGAATACAACCACAGTCCTTACCTCATCCCACAGTCAACTGTCCCAGCCCCTTACCTTGAAGACTGTCTCCCCTGGGCCATCTCTCTGGCCTTGTAATTTTTCAGACATGCCAGATTATCTTCCACTAAGACCTTTCCTTTTGCTGTTCCCTTGTGCCCTAAATGCTTTCTCCAAACATCTGCATGATTAGTTACTTCATTTGGATCTCAGTTTAAATGTTAGTCCTAAATGGGCATGGTGGCTTACTCCTATAATTCCAGCTACATGGGAGGCTGATGCAGGAGGATTGCGAGTTTGAGATCAGTCTGGGTAACTTAAAGAGACCCTGTCTCAAAATTTAAGATAAGGACTGGGGATGTAGCCTAGCATGCATGAGGTTCTGGGTTCAATCACCAGTACCACAAAAAAAATTTTTTTTAATATTTATTTTTTAGTTGTAGTTGTACACAATACCTTTATTTCACTTATTTATTTTTATGTGTTGCTGAGGATCAAACCTAGGGTCTTGCACATGCAAGACTCTACCAATGAGCCACAACCCCAGCCCCACGAAAAGTTTTTTAAAATATAAAAAAAATCTTCCACAGAGATGTCATCCTTACCACCTTATCCCATCTGTCCCTTGACCTGACTTTTTCTTTGAACCATTTATATGACAATGGTTTGTCTTTTAATAAAGTGTACATTGTATACTCTGTACCAATGGAACCCTAGTGCCTAGGAAGTGCTCAGTGCCTACCCAGTGGCATTTGGAACATGTCTGCAGAATGAAGGGAAAGGCAGTGCTGGCACTTCGGGAGGGAGCACATCCTGGGGACAGGCTCATAGACACATCGTCCTCAGTGGGCAAATGTTGGGCCCTCCTAGATGAGATGAGAGATAGAGTTTGCTATGGGAACAGAGACCGTTGCTCACTGCATCCCTCAGCACCTCCTCCAAGAAGCACCCCTGGGATGAATCCCTCCAAATCCAAAAATATTTCTTTGGGACTCTATGTTGTTCACGACCTCACTGCCCTGGTCTACCTCTGTCTGTCTGATAATGTCATTTATGTAACTGCCTGAGTCATCCTTTTTGCCCTGGGTGCCAGGAAGCTCTGAGCCATGGTGAAGCTCAGTGCTGTGAACTGTATAAGCCTTCATGGCCTTGACCTTCTTCTGTTCTTTCCATTACCTTTCGTGGTCTGGACTCCCTATTCTGTTTCTTGTATGGGATTTTGTGGGTCTCCTCAGATGTAGGAAGAGGCAGTATCTGGAGTGATGGGAGCTTCTGGCAAAAGAGGGTGGGGCAAGGGGTGGGCATAGAAGGTTTCCTGTGGTATTTGGGCCATGGGTGGAGGTAACAAATACTGGAGGTGGACAGAGAGGTGGGCAGGTCAGACCCGGCAGCTCCTTGAGTGCCAGGTTGATGTCACAGACTGTCCTGGGGAATGGTTTTAAGCAGAGGAGGCTGCTGGGAGTCCAGGAGATCAATGAAGAGGCTACTGTAGAGATCTGGGGGAGAAGATGAGGTGTAGACTGGGCTGGGGTGTTAAGGCTGAAGAAAGGGAAATGGAATGGGGAGACGGACATGGGGCAGGAGGAGTAGGGACCCAGGGAGCATACAGAGATGGTTTTCAGGTGATGTGGGAGAATCCCTCATACCTTCTCTGTACAACTTCTTTCCAGAATTTAGTCGACGCTGGTGTGTCCTTAGTGACGGGGTCCTGAGCTACTATGAGAATGAGCGCACAGTGACACCCAACGGGGAGATTCGGGCCAGTGAGATTGTGTGCCTGGCAGTGCCCCCTCCTGACACTCATGGGTGAGCACCCCTGGCCAGAATCACACGCTATTGGTGCTGTGTGGTCCAACCTCCAAGTGGGGAGACAAGGAAATCGCCTAGAGAAGGGCAGGACTTGTCCAGGGCCATACAGTAAACTGGAGCTGTACAAGTGCTGACCCAGGCTCCTGAGACTCTAGGCCAAGGCTTTTCTACCACCTCTTAAGGGGCCAGGGGAAAAACAATGGTAAGGGCAGTGGGGGGTGCTGGAGAATGGTAGGTATTGGGTGGGGGGTGGGCCTGGGTGAGGTGCATGAGTCCTGGCCTGTGTGTTTTCAGCTTTGAGCACACCTTTGAGGTATACACAGAGGGAGAACGTCTGTACCTTTTTGGGCTGGAGAGTGCGGAGCTGGCTCATGAATGGGTCAAGTGCATTGCCAAGGTAGGTCTGTTTTAGCAGGGCTGGTGTCTGACAGAGGCAAGAGGGACCTCCTGGCTGATCCCATGAACCCCAGCTCCCACATCTCTGATAGAGCAAGGGCTGGACAAAGGGCAGCCTACATGATGGGGAACAGGCCTCTCAGGCCAAGGGCTGGAGATAGTCTGCAGCCCTGTGGTGGGACGTTAGGAGACCTGTGTCAATCCTTCAGGCTGTGGGATCCGTGTTGGATGAGTAGCCATCTTAGAATGGACAATGCTGCATCTGTAGGTGATCAGGGGAGGCTTCTTGTAGCTAAAGGCATGTAAGCAGAGGCTAGAGGAAGGAGGCAGGAAGCCTCCAGAAAAGAGCCCTACCTTGGAAACTAGAGCCAAGTGCCCTCTGGGGTCCCCTGTATTGTGAAAGCCTAGAGCTCTTTTTATCATTCACTTGTTTGTTGGTCAGTGGCTGGGCCCTGAGGATCAGTGCTCAGAGTCCAGGGGACCTGATGAGCCACTTGGTCCTGGCTCTTCAGTAGCTCCCATGTGGGTCGGGGGAGACAGATGGGTCCAGACAGCAGCAACAGTGTAGTCAGCGCCATAACAGAAGCAGAATGCTTGGCACTGTGGAGGCCCAGAGCAGGGACATCCCTGGCGGTGTCTGGGAAGGTTTCCAGAGGAGGATACATCTGAGTGGATGGGCATGATACCAAAGCTTCATCACTGTTGGGTTCCTCCTGGAAGAGAAGAGGAAGCAGCTGGGTGGGAAGAGGGTTCTTGCTCCAAGCCATGGAGCTGGGATACCCGGACAGGCAGTGCTGTTGGATGATGGGGTCTCTTGTGGCCATCTTCCTCACCAGGCATTCGTGTCTCCCTTGGCTGAGGATCTGCTGACCCGGGATTTTGAGCGGCTTGGGCGGCTGCCCTACAAAGCTGGTTTGAGCCTCCAGCGTGCCCAGGAAGGCTGGTTTGCCCTCACTGGCTCTGAGCTCCGTGCTGTCTTTCCAGAGGGACCCTGTGAAGAGCCACTGCAGCTACGGAGACTGCAGGAACTTTGTGCGTGGACTCGGGCCTGGACCCCTAACCTCCAGGGCACCCTATCCCAGCCCCTGCCTGGAAGTCTGAACCCTATCCTGGCTTGGCCAGAAGGAGCCAGCCTGTCCTCCCTTGTCTTCTTCTGCCCTTGGGGTACATCTTAGTGATCCTCCAGGTGGGCGGGTGAATGCTGCGGGGTGGGTGTGCTCAGAAAGTCTCTGGAGGGATCAGGTTGGGGATAATGACCAGGGACTGGGCCTCACCTTGACTGGCCTCTCCATAGCCATCCAAGGTGACAGTGAGAACCAGGTGCTGGTGCTGGTGGAGCGAAGGAGGTGAGTCACTGCTGCCCTTGGGCTCTGAGAAGGCTGAGAGGGTCTGACAGGCTTGGGAAGAGGTGGGACGGGGGATAGACCGACAGTGATTGACTGTCCCTGTTCCAGGACCTTATACATCCAAGGAGAGCGGCGGCTGGACTTCACAGGTTGGCTGGGGGCCATCCAGAAAGCAGCAGCCAGCTTGGGGGACACACTGTCTGAGCAGCAGCTTGGGGACTCCGACATCCCTGTGATTGTTTACCGTTGTGTGGACTATATCACGCAGTGTGGTGAGCCCCTCCCCTATTGCCCAGGCTCCACCCCTCAGATACCCAGCCCCCAGTGGCCACGATCCCTCTGAAAGTAGCTGCATGTCTCTGGCCCTCCCCAGGCTTGACCTCTGAGGGCATCTATCGCAAGTGTGGCCAGACATCAAAGACGCAGCGGCTACTGGAGAGCCTGCGGCAGGATGCGCGCTCTGTGCATCTCAAGGAGGGTGAACAGCACGTGGATGATGTCTCCTCTGCACTCAAACGCTTCCTACGTGACCTGCCGGATGGGCTCTTCACTCGCGCCCAACGGCTGGCCTGGCTAGAGGCCTCGGGTGAGCCTGCAGTCCATGCCCAGCCTTGTCCCCTTATATCTCTGAATTCTCTCCTGGTCCCTGTCATGCACTTGGATTAGGCATTGCCTCTGCTGGTGGGCTCCCGCCCCACTTTCTTCTGTTGTCACTGCATGGAGACAGGCCCCTCAGAGATGGGTAATTCCTTGTCTTTTCCGAGTGCCTGGCCTGCTTTGACTTGGAGGGTCAGGGAGTGCTGTCACCAGTATGAGAGGCAGAGCTGCCAAAGGGTAGGACAGAGGAGGTGGCTGCAGGAGACCCTGACGCAATCTGTTTTCCCCTACCAGAGATTGAGGATGAGGAAGAGAAACTTTCCAGGTACCGAGAGCTTCTGGTGCATCTGCCTCCTGTCAACCGGGCCACCGTGAAAGCCCTTATCAGCCACCTGTACTGGTGAGGGCTGATACTGATGCAAGGCTGTGGGGGGAAGGGGTGGAGAAGGTTCCTCTACTCCCAACCTGGTTGACTGCCCTCCCCTGGGAACCAGGTAGGCCTGGGGACTGAGTATTGACTATGATCTGTCCTGATCTCAACTTTACTTCCTGTGGGATGGGAGAGTAGAGGAATTTTGAGGTACCTTGTCTAGATTTCCCAGCTGCCCATCTCTACTCTTTGCCAGGACCCAAGACATGTTCCCTTCCACCCTTAACTAGGGGTCTACTCTGACCAGGACCTTCCTGGTCATTCTAGTGGCCAGTCTTGGATCTGTCAGGAACTAAGAAGATGGGACAGGGAAGTTCTGGGCTGGACTCTTCACTCATGGCCTCTGTTCTCCCCCGTCCAGTGTCCAGTGCTTCTCAGACACGAACCAGATGAACACACACAACCTGGCTATTGTGTTTGGGCCTACACTCTTCCAGACAGATGGGCAGGACTACAAAGCTGGCCGGGTGGTGGAAGACCTTATTAGCCATTACGTGGTGGTGTTTAGTGTGCGTCCCCAGCCCGTGGAAGGGGGGAGTGGAGGGCTGAGCCTCTCAGATGGCAGCAATCATTTTCCTTTTCCCTTTCCCCTCCCCAGGTGGACGAGGAGGAGCTGAGGAAGCAAAGAGAGGAGGTCACTGCCATTGTGAAGATGAGAGTGGCTGGCACTGCCAGTGGGACTCAGGTGAAGGCCAGGGCCTGGGCGGGGTCTCAGGCTGGCTGCCTGTACCTGCTGCCCAGACCTCCATCTGAGCCCTGTCTCCCTGCAGCATGCCGGTGACTTCATCTGCACAGTGTACCTGGAGGAGAAGAAGGCAGAAACAGAGCAGCATGTCAAGGTGGGGGCTGGGGACCTAGAGGCCAGGGGGCCAGTAGAGGTAGGCTGGGTGAGGGGCAGACCCACATTACCAGGGAGCACAGCTTCCATCCCAAGGAGAGCCCAGTTTGGGACCAGGTACTGGTCTTGGTCCTGTCTTTTCCCCTACTCATCAGGACCCTCTGAGACACCCCTCTGCATCCCAGGACTCAGAAGACGCTGAGAGGGGTGGGGTTAGGCCTGAATCACACAGTAAGGTGGTAACAGAGTAGGATTGGGGCCAGGGTAGGCTGATCTTCTTGGTCACTGCAGATCCCTGCATCCATGACAGCTGAGGAGCTTACCCTGGAGATCCTGGACCGCCGGAATGTGGGCATCAGGGAGAAGGACTACTGGACTTGCTTTGAAGTCAGTGAGAAGGAGGAGGCAGGTAGGTGGCCACCAGGACTGGTAGAACACACGGTGTGGCCCATCTCGTCTGATCTGCAGCCCATCTGTCCTCCTTCCCTTGCAGTATAGCAACTATGGTGTGAAAAGGGTTGTGATGACACCCGTTGCTGTCACACACTGGTGAAGGCTGTGGTCTCTGTGATGGTGGTGACAGGGAGCTGGCAGGGGTTGAGGTGAAGACTGTAACAGGGCTAATAGGAGGCTGATAGTGAAGGGGTAGATGTGTCAGCTGACGAGGTTTTCTCAGGTATCAGAGAGTGGTGCTGCTTGTAGGAGTCACAGTGCTGAGTTTGGTAGGGGATTGTGGGCCACACCATTCTTGGTGGTAAGGAGAGTGGTAGGTAGTGGTGACCCTTCATGCAGGGGATGGCGGTGTAGGTGAGGGTGGCGTTGATGGTGTGGAGGGCCTTGATGGTGCAAGGGGCTGAGCAAGGGGGCGCGGCATCAGTGGAGGCTTATGTTTCACTGCTGTTTGTTGAGTGCCAGGCACTGGGCTGAGGGGCCAGGCTAACTATCCCTACCCTTGTGGGGGTCGGTCTGGTGTGGACAGAGACATTGATCCATTAATCCCATGAGCACACTGAGAAAACAGAAGCCATGTTAACTGGTGTAGAGGAAAGGTCCCAGGAGTCTCCAGAGCTTATGACAGGGTCTCTGGCTTTGGATTCTTTAAGCCAGATGTGGAGGAAGATGGAAGTTATTTGGTGAAGCTGGGGGGAAAGTGCTCCCAGACAGCAGGAACAGCACAGGCAAAAGCCCTGCGTGGGCAAGGCCAGCCCCTCCAAGGAGGTGGAAGCAGTGAGAGGGTGCGGCTGGGGGTGGCTGGAGATGGAGGCAGAAGTGGCCACGCAGGTCTGACCATGCGAGGCCTTGATGCTGGGGGAGAGGTGGGACAAGAGAAATGAGAACACATGCAGGAGGCCACTTTGAAGGCCTTAGTAGTAGTCTAAGAAGATGCCAGTAATGTGGACAGGGTGGGATAGTGGAGAGGGACAGAGCAGATTTGCCATGCTGAGGGGTGGCGGGAGCAGAGGAGCATTTCTGGCTCGAGCGGCTTGCCCGGTGGCAGTGCTGCTGATTGGACACATGGGAATGACTTGGACACGTGGGGATGACCATGGGCTTGGTTTTGGTCACAGTCAGGAGTGTCCAGCCAGAAGTGTGGTTGTGGGAAGGGTGGTCATGATGGTGGTTTGTTGTGTTGCTAGTGGACCCGGAAGTGGACATGCTGGCTCTATGTCCAGCCATGTGATGTTAGTGACAGTGGGTGTGACTTTTCCCCAGAGCGGCCCCTGCACTTTGCTGAAAAGGTGCTTCCAATCCTGCACAGCCTGGGCACAGACAGCCATCTGGTAGTGAAGAAGCACCAGGCCATGGAGGCCATGCTGCTGTACCTGGGTAGGTGGGGCTGGCAGGGTGGGGCAGGCTGAGGGAGTTTCTTTATCCAGAGCCTGTGGGAGGGACCTGGTGGCACCAGGGAGGAGCAGCTCTGATGCAGAGCACCAAGTTGGTGACCCTATGGAGACAGGATGAGACAGTTTCCTTCATGTGAGGATCTGGCCCTGGAGCATGTGGATCTGGGGGTGTGGTTGGTGCAGCTCATGCCCACTCCAGTCCTCTCCCAGCCAGCCGTGTGGGTGACACCAAGCATGGCATGATGAAGTTCCGCGAGGACCGTAGCCTCCTGGGTCTGGGGCTGCCCTCAGGCGGCTTCCACGATCGCTACTTCATCCTCAACAGCAGCTGCCTGCGGCTCTACAAGGAGGTTCGGGTAAGTGGAGCTGAGTCTTACTCTGAGATGGGCGCCTGCATCCTGAGTGTGCTTAGACACCCAAGCACACGTATTCCCCTTGGTCTGCAAGGGGCAGTCTCCCTACCTTGGGGTCTTGGGATAGCACAGGAGTGGGGGAGAACTGTAGACTCCCAGAGATCCTCCCGCTGTAGGCCTGGGTGGCTACTCCACTGTGCCCTGTACCCCATTAAGCCATGGTACCTGGTGCCATCATATCACAACATGCTGTTTCACCTGTGCCTGTGCCAATCACAGCACCCCAGGAACTTGCTCCAACATGACAGTCCCAGGCCATGGTCTAGGCCTGCCTTGCCAGGTCCGAGGCCTTCCATCCCTCTCTCCATACCCGCTCCATCTACATGCTGGGTGTTGTCCCAGACCAGATACCACAGTATCTAAGTGACCCCCCAACTTCTGAACATAAATGCCATGCCCCTGTGCATCAGTGCACACACTGTCCTGGTGCTAGACCTCGGACGACTTTTTCCATAACCCTTGATCCTCTATCAAACAGAGCCAGAGGCCGTGGAGCGGGGCCCCTGAGACCGTGAGTAGTTGTGTGCTCTTAGCTGCCTTACACCGCCTGGGGGCCAGGCGAGCTGGATGGGAGTATGGGAAACTGCAGGGCTCCCAGCTGTCTTCAGGCATGGTTCCCTGCCCCCTTGCCAGTGTACACTGGCCCCCCGCCCTGGGACCTGGGACCCAAGCTCTGTCCTTAATCTGTAACTCCATCCCAGGGTCCTTTTCCTAAGATAGGGTCCCTTATCAGTGTGATGCTCTATTAGAATTTTCTGTAGGATTCAGTGTAGAAATTATGAAGCAGTAATGGAGACCCCAAAGCTTGAATCAGGGCTCTGATCCTCCTCTCCCATCAACTTGGAATCACTCTCTTTCCAACCCTGGGCTATCAGAATGTCCTTGCCATTTCCTGATCCTAACGTGCTGGGGTTGGGGGATGGCATCCCTGTCTGTGGTGGTTATGTCCTCTGCAGCCCCTTCAGCTGGTCGCTCAGCTTTCCTTGGCATACCCCAGGGAGAACGGAGCTCTCCACCCCTCCCTTGAGGTCTCCCTATCCTTAATGGGATTCTTCTATCTAGGAGAATGTGCATACTCTACTCCAGCTGAGAATCTGCCTCCCATCATGCCCCTATGGGTCCCAGCTATGTCTCTGGGGCCTCAGAGCACAGATATTCTGCAGAAACAGGCCAGAGAGGCATGGTTCCAAGCCCAGTGGTCTAGCTTGAGCTTCCACAGCTGATCCACCAGTGTCTTTACCCTTTTCCTGCCCAGTGCATCTCCTGAGGACATATGGACTGGCCTGGCTTCCATGGATGGAGCAGGACCCTCACCTCCTCATCTTTGCATGTTATACCTGTATTAATACAGTCTGGCCTCCTGAAGAACACCTCCTCTTCTCTTTGCTGCCCTCTGTGATCGCATCTTCACTTCTGAGCCTATCTGTCCTTCCACTCAGTCCCCCATGGTTCTGGGATGTCACCTCCCTGGCTCCTCTCTTGAGAGGTGCTTAGTTAACACTGTGGAGCAGAGCAAGACCATCAATGTGGGCAGAGGGAAGGGAGAGTGTCTGAGGCTCCTGGAAAGGCAGCTGCTGGTGCCTCCACATGGAAGGGAGAAGGTAGGAAATCTAGAAAAAGGGAAGATCTGATGTTTATGAGCCAGGAGTGATGCCTGCGCTTCACATCCTGAGACATGTGGCCCACACTACTGTCCTGTGAGGAGAGGGGTATTCTCTGCCTGCACAGGTAAGAAGATTGGCTTTTGGTGACTTGCACTTGGCCACCTCCAGGTGACAGAATGGAGTCTGAGCTATGAAACTCATGTTTTGTATTCCTAGAAGTTTAGGAACTCAAGGACATGGCGGGGAGGGCTGTTCAGTGATGTTCTCCACACCCCAGTGACAGCCAGTGCATCTGGCCAGGCAGAAGCTCACAGTGAGGTGTGCCTTGGCCACTGAGGCGTTGGTAATTCTAGTATTAATTGCTTTATGGGACAACCAAATATTTGAAATTAGGACATCCCAGGTGAGTCAGGCTCCATGAACAACCAGGCCTCATCCTGGGGTCTCCCATTGTTAAGTGCCCTGAGACACCGGGAAATGCATGTTCTAGAAAGATCTTGGTTTTAGCAGAGATCCTTGAGCATCAGGGGTGAGCTGTGTTCTCTGCCTGTGACCTTGTCCCTCAGAGATGCCAGAAACATGAGGTAGAAGTCAAATTCTTGTGGGATTTATTCTCAAAAGGAGATTGTGTTGACTGATACTCCCTGACCCCACAACCCCCTCAGCCTTCCTGTCTTGGCCTCCCTCCCATGGTCTACACGTAGCCACACTCCCCAGATCCCAAGGAAGTGTGGGCCTGAGGATTGTTTTCAGATTTTCAGGGAGCCTCAGCCTGATTAACATGCTTGACCTGGCCAAGAGGGTCATCACTGTCACACCATGGACCTGCACCTTCCACCCTGACTTCTTTTACTCCTTGCTCCTAGTTCTTTTCCCTCCCACTCAGCACGATTCCGTGTTTACCGGGAGCCGCGTTTCCCCACGGCCTTCCTCCATCATGTCCAAGCCTGTGTTTTGCTGGCCTGCAGCTTACTCTCCATCGTGGCCTGTCTCGGTCTTCCACACGCACCACCAGGTCTCCTAGTTTGTAGGCTGATTTCCTCAGCCCACTGGCCTTTGCTCTCCCTGTTCACCTTTCATCCATGCTGTTTTCTCCCCACCCCTCATTTTTCCCACATCTGTGGCTTCATTTCCCTCCCTCCTGCTCAGCTTCCTCCTTACCTGCGAGCCCTGCTCCTCCCACATGTAGAACCAGGTTTGTTCCAGGTCCTGTTGAGTAGATGGCGATTATCAGGTCAGGTGCTGTCTGTATAGGACATGGGGCTCCTCGGTAGGCCCTGGTTGTCAGGGAGTTCCTGGAAAGTCCCTACTCAGGCCCTCCTAAACCCTACATCCTGGGACAGCATGGAAGTCTCTAGTCCCTAGATAGCCCATCTTTTTTGTGAGTCTTCCCAGCTCCCTTGGTCGTGCCCTAGTCTTCTCTTTGCTCCTGCTGAGGAGCCATGCCTGGGGGTGGCTGGGAGCAATGGTGGGAACAAAGTGGGGGTGGCTCAGTGTTGGACCCCCAGTTTTGGTTGTAAGTGGATCCTCCTGTCCTGCCATCCATCCTGGTGCCCCTGCTGGCTCCACAGGTGCCTGGCATGGGGAGGGCTTCAAGCAAATGGACTCCAGAGCAAGAGGAAGGCTCATTAGCTTCATCTCCAAACAGCTCTCTTCCCCTTGCCTCTGAGCCAGCCTGCTCCTTCCAAGCCAGACCCATATGCAGAGGCGGGCCCAGAGAGGAGCGTGTCAATGATCTGGTGCCCCTCCCCAGTACATTGGTCTCTTGCTTCCTGTCCTAGATCATTGGGAAGTTCTCCCTCTGGTCTACCGAACAGTCATTCTGCTTTGGCTTGAGTCATGAGCTCTTCTCATGGAACCAAAGAGCTAGTAACTGCTGATCCTCAAGCCTTCTGCTCACACGGTCAACCCTGGAGCCTCTGTGGGGCAGGGAGGGGTGAGGAGTGAATAACCAAGACAGATGTAACACAATCAGCCCGCTGAGGCGCTCAGATCATGCCCGCCTTTTCCAGCTTGGTGCTGAGGACGATGCTCAGTGTTCTCCCTTGTGCACCATCTGATTCAGGCGATGCTACGAGTCAGTTCTCCACTGTGCAGGACAGCAGGGTAGGGCTGGGATTTGCTGTCCTAGACGTCCCAGCTGGGCTGGCTGCCTCAGGGACTGAGGGTTGACTGTCTGATGCTGCCTTAGGGAGAGAGGCCAGGGGACTGAGGCTGGATTGTGAACAGGGAGGGATGCGGCAGGAAGGCTCCTTGGAGGAGGTGCCCTGTGCTGAGGTGCAGAGGGGGCTGGGGAACAGGAGGAGGGTGGTGCCTAGGGTGACGATCTGTCCCTGTGCCTGCTGGCCCTTACTGAAGTGCCCTCTTCTCCCCTCCCCCACCCCAGAGTCACCGGCCTGAGAAGGAGTGGCCTGTCAAGAGTCTTAAAGTCTACCTGGGTGTGAAGAAGAAACTCCGGCCACCCACCTGGTGAGCTGGAACTGGGGAGACAGGCCTGAAACTGGGGCCTCTGAGGGCTCAGAACTGATGAGGAAGCACAACCAGGGGCTTTGAACTTGACGGGTCATTGTTGTGGTTCTGAAGTTGTGGTCCCCTTGGCCAGCTGTATCATTTGGACACACCTTATAAACACAAATTCTCAGGTCCCTCTTGAGTCCTGGATTCTAGGGATGAGGCCCAGCACTCAGGCTCCTCACCCCACCACCCTTGGGATTGGGGGATTGAGCTACATCCCCAGCTCCTTTTGTTTTCTTTTCTTTTGTTTTATGACAGAGTCTCACTAAGTTGCTGAAGCTGGCTTTGAACTTTTTTTTTTAAATATTTATTTTTTAGTTGTAGTTGGACACAATATCTTTATTTTTTTATTTTTATGTGGTGCTGAGGATTGAATCCAGGGCCTTGCATGTGCTAGGCAAGTGCTCTACCACTGAGACACAACCCCAGCCCGGTTTTGAACTTTTGATCCTCCTGCCTTAGCCTCCCAAGAGGCTGGGATTACAGGCATGCACCACTGAGGTGCAGAGGGGGCAGCACTATTTTAAATAACAAGTTGTCCAAGGAGCTCTGGTGCTGGCTCATGGCCTGGATTAAAATCCTGTCTCTGACTCTCTTTGGGGCCTTTCTGTGCCTCAGTTTTCTTAGCTGTGGAATAGGGACCCTGAGGGTACACCTGTTTCTAAGGGTGATCGTTTATTTTAAAACATTGGGAAGTGATGCTTGCCACTTTTACCTTTCGTTACATGTTGCAATCACCAGACTTGGTTTTCTGACTTTTTCTTCAGCTGCTAGCTGTGCCTGGCTATTTCTGGGTCTAGGGCAGACCGACCTGGAACAGGACATCAGTAATTTTTTTTTTTTGTGGTGCCTGGGCTCAAACCCAGAGTCCTGAGCATGGTAAATTAGTGCTCTACTCCTGAACTGTGACCCTAGCCCAGGCCTCTGGTGGAGATTAGAGAGCTCGGGGCCTAGTGGTTAGTGGGGGCTGAGAGAGAGAGGCATGCTACCCTTGTGAGGAAGCTGCAGGCTGTCAAATGACCCCACCCCCCCACCCCTCTCTGCAGCTGGGGCTTCACAGTGGTGCACGAGACAGAGAAACATGAGAAGCAGCAATGGTGAGCAAGGGCCCCATCCTGAGACCCCGGGCTGAGGAGAGGTGGTAGCATGGGCCCCTCAATTGGGTCTCCCCTCACTGCCCAGCTCTGTGACTTGCTGGGCGACCGTGGGCTGGGGAGATGGGCAGGGTAACTCCCCTTCAAGCCAGGCCCTTGGCAGTGTGCAGACCTGTGCTCTCCCTGCAGGTACCTCTGCTGTGACACACAGATGGAGCTCCGGGAGTGGTTTGCCACCTTCTTTTTTGTGCAGGTACCAGGGGCAGGGGGTGTGGGAGGCTCTGCTATAGAGAAGGGTGCATTTCCTTCTCTCAGGCCATCCACTGCTTCAAGGAGATTTCTACTTGTTTTTAATTCATTTACCTGTATGTTCAGTAAGCCCTTCCTAGTGCCTGCATAGTCCATCCCTGAACCAGGCCTGCTAGGGACAGCACATAGGCCCCTGCCCTTTGGGGCACTCCCCAGGCAGGAAGAAAAACAGGCCCAGAAGTGATTTGTTATATTCTAATGTGATCTGTGTTGTGGTGGGAGAAGGAAGCCCAGGAACCTAACCAGGTGGGCTTCGAGTGGGAGGGGGACTCCAGGGAGAAGGTGTCATGGGAGCTGAGTCTCTGGGCATGGGGGAGGGTTTACCAGGAAAGGAATGGCTTCCAGGCAGAGGGAAGAGTGTATGCAAAGATCTGGAGACTTGAAAGAGAAGTACAGTTTGTCCAGTGGGGTGTAAAGGGAGAAGCCAGGAGGGCCAGAAGTCGGCCCTGGAAAGGGAGTCAGGAGCAGGAGCCCCAAGAGCCTTAAAGGCCACACCCAGATGCTGAATTCGCCCCAGAAGGGAGTGGAAGAGTTTGAAGAGAGAGAGGGAGAGGGAGAGAGGGGTGTGTGTGTGTGCAGTCTTCTCAGATTCCCTCTGGATGTGTAGGGGAGAAGGACCTGAAGCATAGAGCCTGGGGTAAGGAGGTCAGGGAGTTGGCTGCTACAGTGGCACAGATAGAAGGGAACAGGGTGGTGATGACCCCCGAGCCAGAGCTGGGACAGAAGCTCCTCAGATTTAAAACAGATGAGTTAGAACAAGGATTTTCATCTGGAACCTCAGAATGGTTTAGGTAAAAGGAAGACAAAACTACCAGGACCCTGGGTTGAGAAGCTCAAGTGGTTGAGCTTCCTGGTAGTCAAGGCCTAAAGGGAAACAGTAGATTCTGTAGTTCTTGGTTTCTGCTGAGGAGGCACAAACGTGTTTCTTCTCTTGGAGAAATATTTTCTTGGTGCTGCATTCTTGGAGAGGTTTGTGGATCCGGAGATGAGAGTCATTGAGTAATGAATCTGGCTGTTCGCTGGGGATATGGTCCTGTTCTGCTAACAGCTGCTTCTCATATCGGCTGGGATCAAAGCTGAGGGTGTCACCTCAGATCATAGCTGGAGGCTTTTCTGGGAAGTGTGGGTGGATCCAGAGCTGAGTGTCTGGGTGAGCTGAGGCATGGCCCAGACCCCAGCAGCCCTCCTCTTCCCTGTTTCCCAGCATGATGGCCTGGTGTGGCCCTCAGAGCCCTCGCGTGTGTCCCGGTCAGCCCCTGAGGTCCGGCTTGGCAGCATATCACTGATCCCCTTGCGTGGCAGTGAAAATGAAATGCGTCGGAGTGTAGCAGCCTTTGCTGCTGACCCCCTTTCTGTGAGTGACTCTTCATCCCTGTGGGCAGGGGGCTGGGGACCTCGATGGATGCCTGCCTTCCACCCCACTCTTCATTATTTGAGTAGCCTTCAATACCTATCCTCTACCTGAGTAGGTTCAAAAGCCCCCCTACCTGGCCTAGGGATACCAGCTGGTGAAGCTTCTGTGGCCACCCCTCCATTGCTAGCTGCCTGGTTCCTCGACCATCACAAAGCACTTACAGAATCTGGGCTTCTGTGCTTCCTACAGCTCCTCCGCAATGTCTGAGCACTCAACCAGCCTGGCTGTGGGACTGACTCTGCTGCCTCAACTGCGACCGGGAAGCCTTCCTGTCCAGACACCCTCATGCCCTGCATTCCTGGTGTGAGCCAGCAGGGGGCGCATGAGGAAGCTGTACTCCACATCCCACATCCTGACCACAGCATGAGGCTTCCTGGCAGGGATGCGGGGATTTGGGGTCTGCCCAGGGAGGGACACTTCTGGCTCTTCAGGTGTGCAGCCCTCCTGGCCTAGTTTTCTCACCCACTCTGAGTTTGTGGGGTTGGAGAGATGGGCAGAACCAGGAATTCTGGAGGACATCAACCTTTCAGAGTCTGGAGGCCCTGGGCCCCCGCTGGAAGGGAGCCTACCCCTTTGTACAGACTCCAGAGCCTTAGGAAGTGGGGCCTTAAAGGAGCACTCAGCCAGGCAGGAAGGGAACTCTTAGGGAAGTTTCTACAGGACTGAGAGCTGAACTTTGGGAACTTTAGCCCCACTTCCAGTCTGGGCTTCCCCACTTTGGGGTTTTTTTGATAATATAAATATATCTGTATATTTTACCCTGTGTTGCTGAGGCCTGTGATTGGTTGGGGGAATTGTGTGTCCTGGGGCAGGTGGGGACAGTTGGTCTGGAAGCACAGAGGTGGGTGCTTAGTTCTCTGAGGCTGGGAGCCTGGATGCAGCTCTTTCTGGACCCTGAGCTGATTAGACACTCCTCCTTGCCCCAGGCCAAGCCCTGGCCTGGCTCTGTGCCATCCCTTGTCCCACTATGCAGCCAGGCTGGACTGAAATTGGCTTGAGCTCCTGCCCCTGTTGCAGTCTGAGCCAGGGCCTGGGTATGCAAGTCAGTGACTCAGGGAAGGAGGCACAAGGCCATGGATTCCCAAAAGTTTTAGTAAACTCAAAAGGAGAGCCTCAGGTCCTCCTTAGCCCCTGAGCACACTCCTCCAGAGGTAGGACTCATCTTGCTTCAGGGAGCTGCCCTTGTTGGATACTGCCTGGCCATCTCCTCCAAGCAGACAAGGTCTTAACCAGCAGGGGAGATAATAAGCTGTTCACAGATAGATTTGGGACTCTTGGGGAAGGTGCTAGATTCCCGTCTCTCCTAGAGCCTCGTTGTCAGTGAACAGACCTGCTGACCTCCCTGCCTCAGCCAGTAGAGCTGGGCAAAGCTGATCAAGAATGGGCCACCGATCCCTGACTCTTGTGATCCTGCTCAGTGGGGAGGCCTGGGTACCCGCAGAGTCCCATAGAGTGGGTGAAACTGGAGTTGCCTCCTGCTAGCCTCATACTGCCCTGGCTCAGGGGCTGGCTGCAGGGGCTGCTATGGGCCACCAGGGGGCAGCCATGGATTGCTCATCCCTGTCTCTGAATAGGCTTAGGTTTTGCTCTGCTGGGGAGTGGAGCAGGACCTAGCTCTGCCTTTGACTGCAGGTGGTGATATCTAGAAGGTAGCTCAGTACAGCAATGTGCTTTGAAACCCTGGGGCTCTAAGAGCAGAAGGGAGCAGCCCTGGACCAAGCACCTGCTGTGAGTCTGCACTACTGCTGTGTGCTCCATCTCTTCTTGGCCAAGGAGGAAGTTAGGCCCAGAGAAGGAGGCTCTCTTGAGTCAGGCCTAAGGACCTCCACTGCTCTACATTGGAGGAGTCTCTCTTGGCTCCGTTCCTGATTGCAGCACTGTTTTCCCCTTTCAGGAGTAGCCATGTGTGCTTCTGAAGGAAGGGGATATGAGCTAGCAGGAATCAATGCCAGCGCAGACTGCTTTCCCTTGGAATGGGGATTGTACCCCAACAGGAGCCTTCAGGGCCTCAACCTTAATGACAAGTGCCTGTGACAGCAGTGTTGGGTGGATTAGAGCAGGAGACTCTGCTGATCCTGTCACAAGAATTCCTAAAAAGGAGGCTTCTTGGGATCCTGGGTGGTTTGTGCTCTTGTTCAAGGTTGTTTGGGGAGAGAGGTGGGTGAGGAATCCAGAGATAGGGGTGGGGAGCCGCTCTCGGGATGGGAATTCTTGGTGATTGATGTTGAGAGAGGAGGACAGGGCTTGAGGGCCAACCCATGTCCAGGCACTGCCCCAGGAGACCACAGGGAACCCTGGGAGAGAAGGCTGTGGACAATCAGAGGCTGAGGAGTGAGGGCATTGTGGGTGGAGAGAAGGCAGAGAGGGAGCAGGCGGCTGTGAGGTCTGCTTCCTCCTCCCCCCAGCTCAGCCCTCCTGTCCTGCAGTGTCCAGCCTCTGGGCCTGAGGAGCCCTCAGGAGACCCATTGGGCTCGCAGGAAATGGATGGGACAGGGGAGGAGAGAAGCTGGGCCCAACCTCCCACTCCCTTTCCCCTTGGGCACAGGTGGCCTGGGGCTACAGACCCTACCCACAGCTTGCTGTCCCACTAAAGCATGGTTGTGGATGCCCATACTCCCATTTACAAGCTGAGCGGCTTCTCTGGAGGTACTTAGGGCTCTGACCCCTGTGTTGTACGTGGGAGATATTAATAGTGGATGCCTCCTAGTGGGTTCTCAGAAGGACTCAATGAACTGATGTGTGAAGCACCTAGCACTGTCCCTTGCTGGTTCTCTCTCCAAATATGTCTGATATCATGGCATCCAGAGTCTTTTCTAGGCCCAATGTATTTTCATTTGACAAACACTCATTGAATACCCACTATGTGTAGAGCTTCCTGGAACACATGGTGGGGAACAGATGAGTAAGTGGGTTGGGTTGGGAGCCCTTTGGTGGGGGATATTGATCAGGGAGAAGCCTCATAGGGAATGGGAACCTAGACGGACAGACGGTGTTCCTGTAGGTGGAGCTGAGAGGGAAAGAGATCTCCAGGGGAGGGAATGGCTTGAGCATAGGCAAGGCCATGTGACCTGCAGCTTGTTGTGGCTGGAGCCTAGTGCCCCTGGGTACTCCAGGCCCTCTCCTCCACTCCTCCACTGTTGGATCTTTGCTCTATCCCTTGCTCTGAGATATGACCACATCCCAGCCAAATGGGCTCCTTGGGACCTTCCCCCATCAGAAAAAGACATACTTCATATTCTCTTATCCATCTCTGTGACCTGAGTGACCCAGGCCCTGCTCTGGGGACTGACTGACTGCTTCTCTCATTCATACAAGTGCAGCTGGAGGGAATCACACAACCCTCCTTCAAGAGGACACCTCCTCAGGAAGGTCTCTGGATTGCTCTTCCATCCCACTGTACACTGTGCATGTGTGTGTTGTGGGGGCAGGTAGGCCACATGCACCTAGCTGGGGAATGCCCCAGGAAAGAACTGTAAGGAACAGTGGCTCCAATCAGCACAGGCTGGCCTAGCCTTGGCCTGTCCCTTTTCCCACACCACTTTCAGCCTGTGGAAATTTCCACACTTTCTCTGCCCTGGTTACAGCTCCTACTGCTGTATTTATCACCCTGGAGACACAGTGGCACAGGCGCACACATGCACACTCACACACTCATGCTCTGCACACACGTGCCTATACACCTCAGCCTGCACTTTTGGGTCTGCAAGTGCATCTCACACACACACACACACACACACACACAGCATGTGGAAGAACACCTACACACAAAGAACTCTCTAGGAAATGTGCTCCTCCTCCCTCCTCCTCCTCCTCCTCTGCCCACCCACCACCACCCACCTCCAAACCCTGAAACCAAAGAGATGGGCTGGACGGTGCCTCCCACCTCTTGTCAGCTGGGAAGCATTTAGCATTTTCCCCTTGGTGACTGTAGTGTGCCCCCTCTCCCCAGTCTTCCCTGCCTTCCCCCTCTCTGCCACTTCTGCACTCCTATCTTTTCTCCACATAAGTCACTCTGAGTTCTCTCTTTGTCACTCTTTTGACTTGGAGTGAAAACTGCCCTTCCTCGCTCTCCTGAGTCAGGCTTGGGGGCCTTACTAGCTAATGGAAGATGAGAGGGACAGGCTGGGGAAGCCCAGGGGCCTGAATCCTCAGCTACTGTCACCTTCAGTCCCTCCTCCTGGGTGAGGGGAGGCTGTGTGCCTAGCACCATGGAGACCAGCGTCATGGCAACACAGTCTGGGTGGGCATAGTTTTCTTCTTCCTTCAGGGTTGGGGGGCCTATAGGAGGAGCTGCCAGGAGGCCTGGAGGAGGTGGCCTTGTGCTCATGCCTGGAACTGGCTGCCACGTCTGCCTCATCCCTTACCACCCCCAGGACACCTTACCAGGGTGCACCTGTAGCCTCTAGTGCTGCAAGTCCCCTGGGGCTGAGAATCCTCACAAGCTAAACTCTAGACCTGGGGGCCAGAGAGAGCAGGGGCTTGCCCAGGGTCACAGAGCAAGTCTAGCCAAGCTCTTGACTCAAATCTCATTTCTTTTCTGGTCTCCTGCGTGCCACCAGTCACTGGGGGCAGTGAGGTCAGTCCAACCTTGGTTCTAGCCACCTGAGAAGTCTCCAGCCAGCCCTTTGTGTTGGCAATAATGATGATACAAGTGACAGTGCTGGTCCGTCATGGGAGAGCACTACCTCCTCCTGTGCTAATCTTTGCATGTGTCATTCTCAGAAGGGTCTCCAAGAGGAAGATGACCAGTGAGTGGCCTAGTGAGGCCAGAAACACAATGTCCCTCCCTGATGGAATGGAGGACCCAAGCATCAAGAGCAGGTGCTGTGCTCTTGATGAACAGCAAATGTCTTCATTTCTATCTTGGTTACTAGAGAGAGTTAATGGGGGAAGATCGGGGGCTTAATCTGGATCTGACCTTAGGGTTTCTAGAAACTAGAGGGTTGTTTTTCTAGGAAGATGGAGGAAGCATCCTTCCTCATGTGGTTAGATCTAAGGAAGAGATTTTTTTTTTTTTTTTTTTGCAGTCCAACAATGCAGAGACATAACCCCAGGTCCTCTCAAAGCCATGTCTACTGACCAGGCTGGAGCCTGGGAACAGAAGGGGAAGGCCCCTGCCTCCTGCCCGGCCTCAACGTGTCTCCCAACCTTGATGGAACTGTCACGTTGCAGCTAGCTTATGTAATCACTCAAATATAGCAGCTGCCTTTATCCCACTGAGTCACACCCACTCCATCCCCCACTCAGGTGCGGGGAGTTAAGGGGGAGGAGGAGATCAGGGCTGAGTGGGGGACCCTGGCAAGGAGGATCCTGCTATGCTGGTTTGGAGGGTGGTCATGAAGAAGCTCGAGCTTCAAGGAGAGCAAAACCATTCCTAGAATATGAAGTTTCAGGGGCACTTCTGCCCTAGCCCATGGCCACTGAAATTCCACATTCCTGGGGAACCCTCCCCAGAGCCTCAAGCTATATCCAGTTTTCTTTCCTAGGCTTTGTCCCAACTGGAAGAGGTGAGTGAGGGAGAGATGTAGATTATGAAGAGGAGGAAGTAGTTTGGGGGGCATTGGCCAGGAGTCCCTGGTCCTAGGCCCAGGCCTGCCTATTATTTTGTGACCTGTGCACGTCTCTGACCCATTTCCCTATTGGTACCACGAGGGATTGAACTCCACTGGCCCTAGCATCTTACGCTCCCTGATTTCTGTCTCTGGAGATGACACCAACTTAGTCAAGAGGCTTCCAAGTGTTGGGCCCAGCTCCATTC